TTACTTACTTAACAAAAATAGGTTTGCTGTAATGAATCTTACTGCAAACTAAAAATGAATCATCATGTGTTGGATGAAAAATGACTAAATATAATTGATGATGAGGACCAAGTAAATCAGCAGGTAGTATAGATAATTTTGTATCTCTATATAAAGTTCTATATCTCTTATGATGATTTGTAGCTACTTTTATTTTGCCTAATCGCACATCAATATCACCAATGGCTCTTCCACTACCCATATGGTCAAGATCAAAGACTGTTTGTAAAATGTTGCAACTTGATTTGTCTGTATCATAAATATTGAATAAAAATATTTAATAAGAAAGAATTATTAACTTATAAATTATTAAATTTTGTAAAAAATTGTACCTTTACTAACATCAAAGGTGTCTGTTACATACATTTTCCAGAAATGTTCTGTGTAGTTTGAACTTTGTAACCTTTTATTATTAATATGATATAAATCTACATAAATTAATGCATCACTAGTATTGTCACCACTGTGATCTCCCAACCATCGAAACAAAACAGTTCCTGCTATAGTTTCATAAAAATGTGCTTGTGCAAATTTTTCTATATTCTTTTCAAGTACCTAAATATATAGAATTATAATTTATACTCAAGAAATAAATTTAATTTGTGACATTTTAAAAATTACCGTGATAGAGGCACAAATGATTCTAGCTGAATATACATCTTGAAGTATTAGACCTTTGCCCCATAAACCTCTTTCACCAGTTAAGTTAACATCTGAAATTTCTATTGAACCTGTTTGATTTCCAGGCATGTCAAGTGGTCCAACAAGTTCAGTTAAATCAATGATACTACAATAATTAAAACAATGTTTTGCAATTTAGTATATTAAAAATAAATTTTTGACTCAAAAACAAAGAAAACAATACCTTTCTCCAATATACTGTCTATCACACCTATTGTTTATAAGTGTGTAATCAACAGGAAACTGAGTAACTGACCAATGCCATTGTTGATCTGGATATTGAAGGGTAGTTTGAAATGAAAACCTCATTCTTATGGATGTCTCTGTAACTTTTTCAAATTGAATTTCTCCATGAAGTCCACCAGAAGAAATGTAAGCAGCAAGACGTAATGTATATCCAATAGTAACTATGAAAGGATAATTATATACATAAATTTGATATTAAACAAATTGTAATTTTGAATCAAATATTAGGAATAAATACAGGAATAAAATAGATTCAAGATTGAGCAAATATAAAACAAATAAATGTAAATATATAAAACTATATTTGCTCAATAATAATTACTATTAACAAGTTTATTATTTTGTGATTTCTATACACATTAAAATGAATATATTAATTTTTTTACATGAATACCTAACAACAATGTATAAAGACATAAACTAGTATCTTTAAATTATATATGTATGGTGTTCTTAAAAAGAAAGTTTCAAACATATTTCATTTAAAAATTTTAATGTTTAATGGCTACTGT